CAAACATCTAAGGGTTGCTAGAAAATTCCCTCTCTTCAACTGTACAACTAGAATAAAGAAAGCTGCACAAATCATTTTGTTTCTCAGGTCCTATCTTAAAACCAGATTTCACACTTAAGCCAACTTTAAAATGCAAAAATAAATATTTTAACTAAAAATAATGAACAAGCTGATTATTTACTCACTGAATTACTATATTATAGGCTTACTGATGTATGAAAAGCCATAATATCTGTTTTGATGGCATCATAACTCAACACATCAAAAAAGAATTCTGATTGACCTGTTGCATTAAAAAGTACAAGATCCCAAACAGCTTAAATAGTTCTTGTAAATAATCAAATCAGATTCTCCAATAAAGCTGGGAAATTCACCTAACAATATAAAAATGGCTTTCCTAAACTATCTAAAAATAAAATTTTATTTATGAGCTGTCTATGAGGAAGAAAGAACTGATTTCATATTAAGGCAAAATATTTATCAAGTGAAATTTAAGACCCAGCTATTTTCTTGACTCTGACTTAAGTAAAAAGCATCCTAGTTACTAATGGTTAATAAAAATTTCTCGTATTCTTAAAGATGCAAATAACATCTAATTAACTTAGCCTTAGTCACCACCATTTGATTTTTAATGTAGCACTTAGCATGAGTGCTCACAATAACAACAAAAAATTCTTTTGGTTAATTCCTACCTCTCTATACAATACTGTTTAATTGCAAATGGCAAGAGTTTTAAATACTGCTACTTCAATTTGGTGCGCTAAAAAGATATTTTCAACCATAAATACTGCTCTTCCATATTAAATAAATTTTTAAATAATACATATTATCTGTTTAATATTTAAAAAATAAGGCTCTTCCCAACACTTGTACATTACAAAAGACAGTAAAAGAGACAGTAAGCCACTCCAATTTTAAACTCAGCCTAAAAACTAACATTTATACAGCAATATCTAAAATAGTATCCTTGTTATTTTGCCAGTCGACACAAAAGAGTAATTTTACCATAAAGTAAAAATAATTCTATAGGTAACATTAAAAAGTCTCCCTGAACACAAGTATTAAACATTTATTCTAACATATGACAGGAACAGTCCCTGATCACCCTGAATATTTGAGATGTGTTTGCTTAAATGAGCTTTAAATGCAACAAATAACTGAGCACCTACTCTCTACTGTGAATAAATCCTTTGGAAATGAAAGCTAATTACACATTAGGAAAATATTAAAAAAATAAACAGCATCTTTTACGAAGATTCCACACTAATATTTCTTTAGCAGTTTTTGATAGCTCTTCGAAGTCTTTTTGGTTTTCTCCATTTTAAACACTCAATGATAGTACACATTTAAGTCCCAGTCCAGAAAAGCAGAGCTGTTAGGATTTATATAACACACTTTTAAAAGTAAAACCATAGGTGTTAGACTTTGATGCATGAAAATGGGTACATTATTCTTAGAAATAAGAAACCAATTTAAGAAGTTAGACTTTCACTAAGACTACTAAGGTGTGTGTTAAAGGGAAGAATTTCTCCTAAATTATTAATTGGTTTTTAACCTCACTTCCTCATTTTAGATCCAAGAAGTCCTAGAGCTTACTGTGGTATACATGGTAAAAATTCTCTGGCTGGGAAGCTGTAAGACAGACAAGCCAAAATTGTGAGAGAGTTATCAGAGATCTAAAGAGTTGAAGGGAAATGGAGGAACCCTGTAAAGGTTCTAAACTTAAATTGAGATCAAAAGGATCCTACAATGTACACTGACAACAAAAGGGAAGTATGATCAAAATATAGTCTCTAAAAATAAAATTTACTCTCCTATTACATTATGATTTTCTACAAATCCACTTAAACAGATAAAACCTAATCCCTCAAAACTCAGCTACCCTAAGAACAAAGACCATTTGACTAGTTTTGCCCCCAAGAGACCTACTGTATCAAAACTCACTGAGAATAAAAAACCATGCCCAACCTTTTAATAAATTTGCCTCTACACTCTAATTTAAAACACAGTCACTTGGGTATACATTAACAAAAACCAAACATTTATAGCCATGTTATTTATAAAGTGACCATTTAAAATAAAGTATGATATACTTAAAACATATTATCAAAACAAGCAAACAAAATCCAAAGCAATGAAGCAGCCCAGTATGAAGAAAGCTAATAGCGTGAACGCAGCTTTTCTCATAATTTCTAACTTGGCATTGTTTATTTGAAACCAAGTAAGTCCAAATGCTTTGTGTGTCTAGACCTGATCAAGGTCACTATCAAGAAAAAACAATGGGTGTAGACAGTGTTCCCTCCCATGGCTACATAAACCACATTTCCTTAAGAGTATACTGATTTCCTACATTAGATATTAAGTTTAAAGTACCAACCTTCTGAACCACAGATCTTAACCACATAGTCTATAAAACAAACGCACAATCTTTACACTGCAGTTACGGATCCAGACCTACACGATCACTCAGAGCATAATGAAAATGAGTATTGACCAGAAATCCCTACACAAACTCCTACTACCCACCAACATTTCATTTTACAATAAAATATTTCAAAGATTCTAAGGTTATGTGCTCAGTCTTCCATGATGAAACTCTTTAAGCCAGTTATTTCTACAATTATTTTGCAGAACAGAAAGTTAATTCATATATCAACTTCATGATTCTCTCGTTCCATTGTAAATATTAGAGCAGAATTTACAGTGGAAATAAAAGAATCATGAAAGAGTGTATACTCTCCAACCTTTTTAAGAACTACTGGATTGAAAGGCACTCATCTTTCAGTTAGTCCATATCAGAATGGTCATTAACTGCCATTAATGGCCCACTCATATCCCATTGCTGAGTTCAGGCCAAAAAGATCAACCCCCCACTACAGAGATGAATTTTAATCATTCCCACTTTTTAAAATACTGTTAAATGATACCATTTGATTTTCTGCCTCAATCTTAGATTCTGAAATTAGCATAAAATGGATTCAAGACCCTCTATTACGGTATAGCTGTTATTTAAATCATTAAAACAGACTAAGTTCCACATCCCCAATAGGTAAATGGGCATGGGGGGTGGTTTCAAGAACTAAAGCCTTACTTTTCTACTTACATAATTATGATAGAATGCTGTAAAACAATTTTAAAAGATAGGAAAGTGTGCAGCTGCAGTTCATGAAATACACAAACTTAGAAAATTCTTAAGGAATGCTTAAATACATGAGAAAAATGGATGCAAACTATAATAGTGAGAAGAACAAGCATCTCCACACCCAGTGAAGTAACAGGTTTAGGCTTGTTTGTACAGCTCCCTAAAAATTAATCTGAAAGAGTACAAAAACCAAAATTCACAAAATTGGTCAAGAGGATGGGAAACATTTCACTCTAAATTAAAACATCTAGTCACACAAAATGTTATACTTATACACTTACTAAATATTTTAACTTACTTTAGCACACTGAATAAAAAACACTTGCACTAAACCGAGCAAAAACTATTCCTTGTCCCAAATATATTTTTTTAAATGTTTAAGAGCACCTACCCTCACTACTGAAATTTCTAAGGCTACCTGAGTTTTTTTTTCGAAGTGGTGTCATTTTATTTGCCTCAGGAAAAACCAATAAATCAACTAAAACACAGCATTGTAACTGCAGTAAAATCAACACATTTTTGTAAACTATTTGGGAAAGAAAAGCAGCACAGTCTTTTCATGTAAACATAATAAGCCTGTAATATGCTGCAGACAAACGCACTGCATGGGGTGTGGAGGACCCGAGCTGATTAGATTACCACAACATCAGCCTGGGGCCGCCATTTTTAGAATCTGTAAAGGACAAAAGAGGGAAATTTCACTTTTTACTTCCCATCTCGGAAAATAAAGGAAAAAACGGGGCCATCTTCCAATTAGGTATTGATGTCTCCAGCCTAGAGTTGAATGCACCTCACTTAATTCTCTCCAAGGTCTCCAGAACTCCAACACCTTACGTTATTCACATCTCTAAAAGGAGGGGAAACAGACACCAAACACACACACACACACACACACACACACACACACACACACACAAAAAACCGGGATTTACTCCAAAGCGAACTCTAGCGATTTCTCTCTGACTTTAAATTGTATCATTCTTAAGACTCTAGCAAGAACGGATCTCTACGGAACTGAGGCCAGTGGAAGAGAGCACTCCGGATTGTTTTTTCTCTCCCCCCTCCCTCGTTTAGCACAGTGAACCGTTTGTTTCTCTTCTGTATCTGCTGCCACAGTGTTTGTGCCAATCCCTTGGTCAAAATAAGCTTTTCTGAAATGTGCCATGTTGTGGATTCTAAGCCTCCGGTACAGTAAAGGACGGCGAGAATGCAAGAGGAGTGGGGGAGGAGACTGAGAAGGCTGGGTACTGGGGTGACCACCTCTGGGGCGGGTTTACCCTCTCCCGGAGAGGATGAGGAGCTGTCTTGTTCTCCCACAAAGGGAGATAGAGACCCAGAGCGTCCTTTTAACCCCCTTAGTATTTACCAGAAAATTATACCAGAGAATGCCAAGCAATTAATGGAAGAAGAAGAAAATGGGGCCTATACGGTTTTTCAGCACCTGAACAAGATGCGGTCGAGGAAAGGGAGAGCTGGCAGCTCCTGGGACCACTTCGACACAAACCCTACTAACAGTCACAAGCCTCCCTCCTCACCCAAGCGCCCTTAAGCCGCTGCCAATGAGGAGTGCGCCCCCTCCCTAACTCCCACTCCTAAGGGGGTTTAACTGCCAGTTCCCCCTTTCCCCAACCCTAAAACCCGCCATAATGCTCCCTTTCTAGGACAGGGAAGAGAAAGGATAAATTCGATTCAAACAAGCAGCGTCTTGCTCCAGCCCAGACACCTGAGAGTAAACGCTGACTCCCCCAACCCCCCCCAAAAGCATAAAAATGAGAAAGCCCCCTCCCCCCTGAAACACGCGTCCCTCCACCCCGCAAACCCCAAGAACTCCCAAGGAGACGACAGGCACTGACCTGTGATGTTCACACACCAGACACCCGAACCCCGTTATCTGCTCGACCCCCAAGGAGCCTCTCCACACCTCCGCGAACAGACGACCCCCCGACAGCAGCCACTGCGGACACAGGACCCGGCTCCACACACCCCCTCCCCAAACAGCAGCGCGCAGCCTCTTCACCAGCAATCAAGGAGTAGGGGAGGGGGCACCCAAACAGTCAACAGGAACGCAGAGGCGACGGCAAGGCTGCTCAGAGTGTCTATGCCCCCTCTGTTGCCGCTCCCGAACTCAGGCACGGTCTCCGACTCGGCCCCCTGCGCCCGCTCAGTGTCACTGCCTCTCGCTCTGGGAAAATGGCGGCGACGGCGGCGGCGGCCGCGGCGGCGGCGGCGGCGGCGGCGGCCGCGGCGGCGGCGGCAAGTGCACGGGTTCCGCCCGCCCCGCTCCGCAGGGGCAGAGGGGGAGGGGAACGAAGCTGCCCGCCGCCATTTTGCTTGTGGGCTGCCGCCCGCCGTTGCCTCTTCCATAGAGGCTTGAAGATAACCAACTGGAGACAGAGAGGTGGGCAGAATCTCCGTCTTTTTCACAACAGATGCATTCAACAATTCACAGAAGGTTTGGGGAAGTTTCGGTATTTGGTGGGATTGGTTCTTTACCCCTTTTCCCTGAGCAGCCCTCAAGTGTGGATATCGGCGAGCTTGGGCACGCCACTACTGGGTGGAAGGATAAGGACTGTAGGCCCAGGGAACAACCCCCCCCTCCCCTCACCCTCCTAAAGCGATGCCCTTTCTCCCACTCCCCAAACCTCAGTCTCAGTCTTCCCCTCCCCCTCCCCAGTCTGGCCTTCAGCGCTGGGTGAACTCGGTTTGGGTGTCACTCGACGCCCACTAGGGGCTGAGGAGGCTCCAGTGCGCAGACTCCGGGCCCCGGATAAAAGCGGAGCTGGAGCGTCCAGCGCCGTCTCGATGGAGGAGCGAGAAACGGAAGAGGTCGGGGGGAGAAGCAGCAGGAAAAGTACAGCCACCGTCAGCGCCGCTTTCCTGCCACCGTGTATCGGGGTAAAAAGCTGCTGTTGCCGTCGGTGCAGTTGCCGTCGCTGCCTCCTACTTCTTTTGGCCCTGGGGAAGGATTTCCCCGCCGGCGGGACAATGTGCGGGGTGGGGAGCGGGAATTCCTTAATGTGGCGGTGATTAAACGAGGGAGGGACTGAGAGACGGTTATCTCGAAGAAAAAAGGGGGAGGCCAAAGAATAAAACAGGGGTTTCCCCACTAAAATAACACGGTGATCCCGATTCTTCTCTTCGGGTTCTTTCCCCCGAAATGGCGGTTTCCGTCTTCTCGCTGTACAGAGACCCGGAGCGCTTGGTAAGCCGAGTGGGGAGAGGCAGAGGCGGTCCGTGCAGCCAATCAGTGCCTGATGTGTTCTGTCGGGCGCGTCGTGATTGGCCAGCGATGACCTCATGCTGCAGCAGCGGGAGGGGCCAGAGCCGTCGGGGGAGGCTGTTGCAAAGGCAGAGAGGGAGAAGTGACGATGGTGATCGTTGCTGCCGCGGCTGATATGGAATCCAAGCAGTGGCGAAGAGAATCTCAAGGCTCTTCCCTGAGTATTTTCTCCTGTCCCTGCCCGAGGTGAGGGCCCCGGCTCGGCCTCTGCGAAACTTTGGGGCGCTGGCGCGGACGAGGAGACACAATTCCTCCCATGACTTTTGTAACTGCGTCAGGGCAAGATGGCGCTGGGTCTCCTTGGGGCGCGGGGGGAGAGGCACGTCCACCGCCGCCGCAGCGCATGTGACCGGGCTGCATTCCTGTGGGGTTTGGCTCCAACCCAGGCTGGGGCGGGGGAGGGGAAAGGGCTTGGGCGGAGGAGACTGTGGTGCGGTCGGCGTTGGCGGCCTGAAGAGGAAGAGATGACTGTTTGAGAGCGCTTCCCCTCCCCCATATAGCTTAACAGCTGCGGCTCCCGGGGGAAAGCCCCTGGAGGGACACTCGTGGGGTGTGACGGCTGTTGGTGGAGGAGAAGGTTCGGTGCCCTATTTTCTTATCTAACCTTTCTCCTTGCAAAGTGCTTACGTAAGGTGGCAGGTTCCTACTGTGAGAGTCGTAATCAACTGTGAGTCCCTGAGGGCCACTGGACGGAGTAAAAAGGAGAGACTAGCTAGGCCACAACGTCAAGAAGTGTCCGTTATTTTCTGGGAAAACGTAAAGTTTCTCAGATTCCAGTAGAAAAATATTTCTTAAATTTGGAAGCAGGTGTAAAAGGTGTAAATAACACCCAGGAACACTTAAAAGTTACCATCTGAATTTTGAGGACCCTTTTCAGGTTTTCTGTACTTCTCATATCTTCCATATCTGCATATTCTACAGGAATGTGTAGACTTAGTGGATGTGGTTTTCTTTTTAAATTTAGGAGTGATTAGTAATAAGAATAAAAGCTGCTAGTGCTGTAATTTATATGAAGTAAGGGTGTTTTCAATACTTTTGTCTTTCTGTCGCCCTCTTAACTATGGTTTTTAAAAATAAAAGATGAAATCACTTTCGGTAAATGTTATTCATTAAGATTCCTGCACCATTATGAAGCCTACCTCTTTAAATCACTTCTGTAGAAGTATGGACTGACTTAATTTTCGAAACCTTGTTAGTGACGGTCTTTAGTTGGAAAGTTTTTAAGTAGTCTATATTGGTAGATTCTGTAATAAATACTAGTTTTGTTTTTGATTATTCCCACTTAAACAAGCATAGTAGCCGTTAACTAAACTAGTGAAAATTCAAAAGGCTTCTCGCCTTGGGTGGTGTTGAGAGCCGGGAGTTACACACAACAAAGACATTTGCACGGAAACCTGGCTTGCTTTTTGACAGAACACACCTCGTGCCAGGAGGAAACGTTTGCTGGACCCGAAAAGATGGGTTTAACTCTGGTCAAGGTTATGTTATTTCGTTTAGTGTTAGTTGTAGACTTAGTTTGAAAACAAGATTTTCTATTCATTTGTTTATACTTAAACCCTTGCTAGTTTTTGTGGCTTTTTCAAAAAGCGAAGTAACAATATGAACTGAAAAGCCTGTAACTAGAGTGTAAATATTAAGTAGTACAAAGATTTTAGAGTTCAGAGTTTTTTTTGTGTTCGTGCATTGTGATTAGAAAATGGGCATCTTGAATAACCTCGAGGATTTGTCACGTGTAAGTTGTGTCTCCCTTAACTGTCATAGCAACTTCTATTTTGGCTCAGGAAAAAGGGAGCAAATATGAAGTCACGTTTTTAAGGTAATTTTCATAGTCTTCCTAGCTTTATTCTGCCTTAATAAAGAAGAGAGGCCATTTTTCAAGCTAACAGAAACATCCTTGTTTTTGTTTTTTTGGTCAGCATGTCTACATTATTCCTAATTGCCAAATCTTGGGCTCTAGTTTTTCTTTTGCCACGTTCCTGTGGCGTTTTAAATATTTGGAATTATTTCTTTGACTACCTTCTTGTTTTATATGTTCTCTCTGGGCAATTTCATTTGTGCCTGTGACTTCAGTAAAGCCTCAATTTTTATCTCATTTGTTAATGCAGTGTTAAGGTATACAAGGGGGCCCACAGGCTTCCTAAACTCCCGTAAAAAATACTGAGCTTGGTACTAGATTCCAGAGAACTTTGTTCACCCATTCCCTCAAAAAATTTTTGCTTCTCATGCTCTTTCATTATTTGAGTAAACCACACCACCCCCAACCTTCCTATATTTTTTATTCAAATCATCATCTCTTGTATAATTGGAAGTTTTACAGTCGGCTTCAGGTGGCATACATCCCCTAATGGATAAAATACATAGGTAGAGCTGTTTCATACGTTTGTGTCTTTGTCCACACCACCCGAAGTACTTCTTCCCACTCCTGGGTAACTTGAGACTTTGCCTCCTGAAACTTCCAAAATCTTGCTCCCAAGTCATAGGATGCATTCCTTACATAATGACCCAGCCCAGTGCTTGGTTGGCATTCAGGTGTACAAGTTTTGTGTGTGTGTGTGTGTGTGTTTAGGTGGATAACACTCTGCCAATAAACTGCAGTGCAAACTGTAAAACATAGCCTTCACACTTTTTCAAAAACACACTTGACCCACCAGGGTTTGATGAGGAAATGAAGTGTACATTAGGAGGCTCACAGGCCAGGTTTCCTCCCCTTTGACTTCTATAAGAGAGGAGACGAGGGACTGCTGATGGGATATTTATGCCTCCAGAAAAATGGGAAGGGAAAAACTGGCCTTATTTTTCAACATCGTATTTCTCAAATCTAGAGGACATTTTAACCTACAAACTTCAGTTTATAAACACCAATGATTATTTGGGTTTGTAATTCCTTGATGTGTTTGGGGCTTATCAAAGTACTTAGTACTGCTTGCTCTGGTACTAGAGGACCCAATTTTTTGTGCCCTTGAGTTTAGTTTTTGTCGTTTTTCTTTCTGTAATTTATAAGTGTCCATGTGCCAGCCTCTGGTACCAGAGGTACCTACACGTGTTTTATGTATCATGAGATTGGCATTCCAATCATAGGGCTGATTAAAATTGCATGTTAAATGAATCTCAGTAAGAATTCCAAGGGTCAGTTTTGAGCTTTATAAACATTGGTGACCCTGTTAAAGCTTTTGGGCTATTTTTGAATGGTGATTGTCTATCTTTTGAGCTCAAGTTCAAAGTAAGAAAATATTCGGAATTATAGGGGACTTCACTGGATTTTGTTTTTATATGGAATTTTCCTCTGCCCCACTTGACTTTAGTGTCGTCTAAGTGTACAATGGAAAGATTTATGTCTGAGAATTGAACTTAAACCATTAAATATACCTTAAAATGTTATGGTTAAACATACCACCTGATCAGTTTAACTTCCTGAAAAATGAATTTAATGGTATCTCGTTCTTCCTGGGCAAGGTATTATTTATGTTAACACTAAACCTGAAATTCATATTTGCAAAGAGTCCTCAAAAAAATTTTCCAAGGTTGTGGATACCTTGAATCAACTTGATTGGTTTTCTTAAGAAAAAGATAGGTTTATTCCTGAGTATTCAAAAAACATTTTTGAAAGTTAACTGCCTTCTGCTAATCAAAAAGATCAGGCCTAGTGGTGCCTGGGTGGCTTAGTCGGTTGAGCGTCATTGAGTAGTATGGCTTCTTGGGTTCAGCTCAGGTCATGATCTCAGGGTCCTGGGATCGAGCTGCCCCTCCCCCTGTAAAAGATCGCACTCACGCGCTCGCTCTCTTTCTCAATCAGTCTTTAGAAAAGGAAGGGAGCGGCTGGGTGGCTCAGTCTGTTAAGTGTCTGCCTTTGGCTGGGGTCTCTCAAATAAATAAAATCTTAAAAAAAATCAGGCCTACAGTCTTCCTGTTAACTGTTCAAGTTTGAAACATCTTTAAGTACAGAGTTTGGTTTGGAAAATAGAGAAACTAATAGTATTCTTCCACCTGAATGAAGCAAATAGGAAGCTAGCAAAAGCTTACAGAGCCCACTGTACTGTTCTCTGGAATGATTTAACAGTAGATGTAGAAAATGGGCTTTTTAATATTCATTGTGAACTGTAAACTTTAATATCAAATGTAAAAATGGAGCCAATGAAGAAGAGCTAAGAAATTTATTGGAGGTCCTTTCTTTGCTCATAGTCAGTGGTAATTTACAGAATAAAATTTCTGAATGTATCTAGTTTCCCAACTCTGCTTGTCCTATGTTTCCTTTTCTTAAAAGTATTTTATGGCCTTTTCCATTCGGTGCCTCTGTTTGCCATAAGCACTGAAGTATGCAGAGTTTATCTTGTATTTGTACTATAAAAGAAAATTGGTTTGGGGGGGGGTTTTTGTTCTTTTGTTGTAAGTACACCACGAAACAGCAGTATGGTCAGCCTTGTCTTTTTGAGGTACAGAATATACCTTCACTGAACAACTGTCTCTTAAACAGTACTCTTCCTAATAAACTGGTCATCGACCTAGAGTAAATGATATTTCATACAACTAAAATTTAAATCGAGTTAAATTATGTAGAAATTTATTCTAAGATTATGTCACTTTAATATTCCTTATCTTCAAAAGTATTTTTAAATAAGAGTGCCCCTCCCAAGTATATTGATATTTGTGTCACAAATTTAAAACTATAATCTGGTTTTCCCCTTTGATTGCTTTGTTCCTGGGACAGATTGGAACTCCAGCTCTAATTTGAATAAAATAATTGGCATTCCTACCGTATTTAAGACGCACAAAACATAATTCCCAGCCCCTACATTTCCAGTTAGTTTGGCAAGATAAACTACTTGGTAATTAGAACTTCTGAAGCATTTATGTCTGTTTAAATGTTTACTTGCTAGTTTCTCCCAACCTTTATTTCTGTGTTTTTAAATTTAGCTCAGTTTTTTTTTTTTAAGATTTTATTTATTTATTTGATAGAGAGAGACAGCGAGAGCAGGAACACAAGCAGGGGGAGTGGGAGAGGGAGAAGCAGGCTTCCTGCGGAGCAGGGAGCCCGATGTATGACTTGATCCCAGGACCCCGGGACCGTGACGTGAGCCAAAGGCAGACGCTTAACGACTGAGCCACCCAGGCGCCCAAATTTAGCTCAGTTTTAATGCCACTTCCATTTCTTTTTGTATAGGTTGGTTTGTTGCTAACGGTTAATCTCCAAGAAAGGAAAGATCACTTCTTAGTAAGTGAGGATATAACAGATGGAATTAAGGATTTAGGAATAACAAGTTTTTGTTTTAAATTAGTAAGGTAAGTTGTACTGGGTCACTTATACTAGTTTAGCAAGAGTAAAGAAGTTGTTGGAAAGTCATAATTTAAGCACTCAAGAGCTTTTTTTAAATTTTTTATTGTTATGTTAATCACCATACATTACATCATTAGTTTTTGATGTAGCGTTCCACCATTCATTGTTTGTGTATAACACCCAGTGCTCCATTCAGTATGTGCCCTCTTTAATACCCATCACCAGGCTAACCCATCCCC